ACTTAACCGTGATCAAACCTAAGAGCTAAGCCCCCAACTGTTCCAGTTTACAAATCAAGCTTAAGCTTAGTGTGTTAGATGTGCTCAAGTGGCAGATAAGATAGAGATAGTCATCTCAAATGATTTTTTCATATAAAGTATCCGCCTTCCGATAATCTGATTAGAAGATAAGATGTATTAGATATTTAGATTTAACTTATGTTGAAAAAGATATAGGCAAATCTAAAAAGTAATAGTTAAAAGGTATCTGATTTGGTCTTTTTTTAATAGATTTAAATAAGAATTTGACTCTTAATAGAACACAATGAAGAAAATGTATTCCAGTAAATGACCCCACATAGTGGGATAAAGGCTTAATATTCTGCTAGTTGAGCTCAAGTTTTGCATGTGCTGAGTTAAGCTCAATCTTAGTACAACTCTACTTGTTTGCACCCTTGTTCAACACTACCAAAAGAGTTTAATAATTTAAAATTTTGTTTTCATTTATTTTATTTCCACTTATAAAAGACATTCGCTGGTGCAAGAACCATAACGAGGTTGGTTAGATCTTTACTGTAGTGATTTTCCTATTGTTGTTGCTTCTAAACATATTTATTTTCTATTCTAATTATGTTTTTTTTTTCTTTGCTGCATTAATTACATCCTTCGCCTACCTAATTCAGTTGGGTAGGTTGTGTATCATCTGGAATAGTATGCGAAATAAAGTTGAAATACTCGTTCTTGTCATTAAGTATAGGAGATTTTCCTCCCAAAAAAAAAAAGTAAAAGGGTTGTGGTAAATATAACTTAAATTAAAAATATAATATAAATTAACAATAAATTTATATTATTTAAATATATAATATAAATTAACAATATTTTATATTAAATTTATTAAATTTATATATAACTTAAATCTTTATTAAATATGAATGAAAATTAAAATTAAAAGTATTTAAATTTAAAATTATAAAAAATATTAAATTTATTTTTTCATTAGAGGGTTGTGGTAACTAGTTTAGATGTAAAATCCCTAATTCCATTTTGAAATAACTAACCAAAAAGAAAAAAATAAAAATAAAAATCGTTACAACACCCCAAAAGGGATATAATTTACAATGAATGCCATCCCACCTTGTTCACTTCCTCCCACGCTTCTTCTGCGGCGGAGCAGGCGGACGTTTCGCCGATACCGCTTCTACCTTTACTCTCTTTGCCGGCGGTGGACTCGGTGTTGGCGGCGTTCTTTTCGGTGGCCGTCCTACACTCCTCTTCGTCTGACCAGACTCAGAATGCGCCGAGGCCGCATCCTTCCGCCCTTCTCCCTTCCCAACCCTCCTCTGCTCAGACCCTTTCCCACTGGATCCACCGCCAGAGGTTTTCGGTGAGTTTAGAAGCGGTCCCGTAGATGAATTCCTCAAACGATCAAGAAAGCTAGCAGCATTCCTCTTCTTTGGTGTCGGGTTAGATGAAGTGGCTACAGGCTTCTTTTCTACCTTCGCTGGAGCTTCAGGAATCTCCTCGGCGTTTAGGCTAGGCTTCTGTGCAGGAGCTGGCTTGGAGTTCCTCGAACCAGAACCAGCAGGTCCGCCACGGCTCTTGCTAGTCCTTAAGCCCCTCATTCCCGATACTTTTGATCTCTCCTTCGTCTTAGGTTTAGCAATGCTGCTCTGTTTGTCCACATCTCGCTCCCGCTCTCGTTCCTTCTGACCCGAATCCAAATCATTTTCCCTCTCCGGCTTCCCAGCCACCTCCACCTCGGTAGCGGCTGCTGCCTTGGAGATGAAGCTACGCTTCCGGCAAACAATTAAGGAACCTGATGACCTGTTCTTCTTCGGAAGTGGATTGTTGAGATCCGAATCCAGCTTTAATTTATTAACCATCTTCGTAAGTGGCAGTGAGGACTCCTTCGATGCCTCCTCCATTTTCGCACGTGCGGGCTTCGGCAACATCGCGGTCATTTCCTTAGTAACCATCTGCCGTAAATGGACGGCGGCTGTTGATTCCGGCGAGGTCTTATGAAAGAAGACGATGGCGTTGTTGCACAGAAGCAGGAGATCGCGGAAGAACTCCGCATTAGAGTATTTAGCTCCCCTTCGCTCCAGCCTTGCACGCACAATCTCCAGATCCACGTGTCTCCTAATCATGCTCCGGTATCTCGAATTTTCCTGATATTAAGATTATATTCTATTTTTAAAATTATCCTCCGTACGAAAAAAAAAACACAAACACACAAAATTGTGAAATGGTGCGTCGAAAAGCAGGTTGGTTTTGAAATTTTGATATTAGGAAGAAAATATAATGATATTATTTCTTAAAAATAATTATTGTCGATAAAAAGTAAAAGAGTCAAAAAGACGCGGGAAAGCTTTAATGGGGAATTTTAGTGGCCCGAAAGGGCGGCACCTGCGATGGACACACAAGCATCGGTGTAGTGTAGTGCTATACAGTGAAGCGCTCCAGGAGGCCGGCACGCTTCTGCTGTCCCGCAAGCACACCCATAACCCCAGCGCAGCCGCTAAATTTGGATTGCCGATGAATGAAATGAAAGTTTTTATACGGAGCGTATGATCCGGATCTGACGGCGGATCCGCTAAATTAGGGTCCTCCATTCATATCTCTCACAACAGTTCACATTAAGGCGCATCTACCGAAACGACACATTAAAATGGATATTAATTTAAACAAATATTTATATAAAAAACTTTTATAGTTTAATCATTTGAATGAAAAAAATATAATAAAAAATAAATTGTTAGAAGACTGCCTTATTAATCACGCTTTCATATATATCTAACAATCTAAATTTTAATATTTTTTATCTAACATTTTAAATTTTAAATTATATTAAAAATACTATTTATATGAAAAAGAGTTTAAAACATCATATAAATAAATATTAAATTTTATATATTAATATAAAAAAATTTAAATTTATGTGATATGTATTTTATTTAATAAATGAAAATAATTAATTCTCATTTTTATTTGAGGTTTTTTGTAAGCTTAAAAATAAAATAAGTAAAGGTACACAACTCTCCTTGGCCTATTGGTTGAGAGCTCAGACTTCCAACTAAGAGGTTATGTGTATGCATTGTGTGTGTGAGTTTGCCATAAATCACCTAAATGTCCCAAATAAAAAAAAAAAAAAAACTACAAAAATGAAATAACTAACTAATGAAACATAGCTAAATATGCTAGAATCATTTGTTTGCGATGTTTCCAGCAAGTTATATTATTTTATTTATAAAATTGTCTTTATTTATTCTTTTAAGGAAAATGAAACTTTATAAAAATATTAAATTTTTATCTTTTAATTAAAAAAGCAAATAAAAATATAAGAGATTACTGCAGTTTTTCACTTTGAGCTTCACAATTTTTTTGCCAGGATTGGACAAGAGAAAATGAAACGATAAAATACCTGACCCTCGAGCCGGCTCAAGAAAACGGATCCGTACTTGCTCGATCGGATGATCTCGAGGAATGCAGCCAACGGCTGCGATTCAGCTGCGGTGATGTGGTTGGCGTTGGCGGCGACGGGAGAGACATCATCCGTCTCCGCCTCCTCGGCCACGCTGCTACTGCCGGAAATCGCTTTCTGCAGCCTCCGACGACGTCGCCTCGATAGGCTTACCGAGCTCTGCACATCGCTGCTCTCTTTCTCGCCGGCTACCGACTCCCCCGATTCCCCCAAAATCGGAGGTGCGGGCTCAGCCGTTTCCGACCCTTTCGATAGAGTTTCCGAGCTCCCGTTGCAAGAAGCTTCACGAGCTGGTCCAGCCAACATATCATGGCCATCAGCTTTCGTTGTCTTCTCTGGCTCCGTTACCTCTCCACCTCCGCCGGCCTTCACTTCCTTTGCCTTTGGATTCGTCGAGTTCGACTCCTTGCAAGACCCCCCGGAATCACCAGCAGAGATTCGATCTCTGGCGAAAGCCGCGGGAGCCGGCTCAGGCGAGTCGCCGTCCTTATTCATCTCGTTATCCTTCAGATCCGGTTCTCCCTCATCGGCTTCGCTCCTCTCTCGCTCCGCTCTCAAATTCTTCAGCTTTAATTGTAAAGATCTGTAAAAGTAAATTAAAATAAAATCTCAGGTGATCCCAATCGTCTGACTCTCATCCAACGGCTCACAAAAAAATTCCGAAAAACTCCTCAAAAAACACATCTGTTTTCCGAGTTTTGATGGATTATTTTACGTGATCGAGACGTCGTATTGTTCAACTTCGCGACGGAGCTCGGCCATCCGTAGCTTCCGGAGTTCCTCGAGCCAAGGAACATCTGCCGACGATCCGCTATCTCCCCCGCCACCGGCGGCGTCGACTTTTTCTCTGATGCCTTCACCTCCGGATTCGAAGCGGCGTTTGAGATCTAGGTATCGCTGGCGGCAACTTTGGGGAGTGAGAAGATCGGAAAAGGGACTTCGGGCTTGGATCTCCATGGCGACGGAGTCCCAACTGCGGGTACCATGGCGGTTAACGGCGCAGGCGAGGAGTAGCTCCTCCCATGTGCCCCAGATCTCGTTCTCCAGATCGGCGGATCTCGTCCCTGATGCCATAGGCAACGATTAAACCACCGCCTCCATCCACGCCTCCGCCCACTTGTTCTTTCTTTTCGAACCCTAGTTTTCCCCCTCTCAATTCCGGTCCGGCTCCTCATACATATATCTTCTTTGCTTATTCTTTTTCAATTTTCTCATGTCTTTGTTTCTTCTCACCCGGTTCAAGTTTTTTGGTTTAAGAGATAACATTAAAGATATTTTACATGTTTTCCCTATTTATTTTAGAACATACATACAATTTTATTTCATCCTATTTAACAATTTAAAATTTTAATATTACATATATGTCACCTATAAAATAAATCTAAGTGCATATAATAAAATATTAAAATTTATAAGATGATAATAAGGGTGATAAGAATAAAATATATGAGTGATATAATTGATATTAAATTTTTATATGTGCGGTATAAATGTAATATTGAAATTTTAGGTATTAGATATGTAAATAATATAAAATAAAGTGATATGTATGTAATCCCCCCTTTATTTTATTGCAGTTGAGCTATTTCGAGATTGAGATTATATAATTTCTTAAGATTTGTCAAAAACTTAAAATATAAAATATAAATTTTTTGTTTCATTTTATTAATTTATAAACTAATAAAAATCTTTTATCCTTTCAAAATATAATAGACATCTCATCTTAATCTTTTAGCGGAGAGCTTTGACTATGAATTAAAAAGATCTAGATTCAAAGCTTTTGTATGTGTTATGTGCATGAGTTTATATTAATTACTCTTAATGTTCAAAATCTTTTGAAAACATGTAGTTATAACACATATAGAAAATAAAAAATTATATTAAAATATATTTGTGCATAACATATTAAAAATAAACTCTAAAATTAAAAATAATTAAATTTATATTAAATTTATTATTGTATATGTCTATATGATATTATAACACATTTAAAAATTAGAATATTCTCACGTAATTTTCTTAATCCTTACATAAAATCTAAATAGTTAGTGTATAGAAATAGTTTATGTAATCGGTTTCTGGGTTGGATCAACCAATTTAGGGACTTGAAGGTAGGTAATCTAGACCCGTTATTATAATTTTGGAATAGTATGAACCATGTGATTTGCCTGACTGATAATCGTGTCGACTGGACAAACCCCGTCATTGAAAACTCCCCAGTAAGGCAACCTGAGCAGGTACTGTTGGGTTATCGGGTCGAATCGTGTATGAACCATATGAGAGTATCTATCTACCTGCTACTAGGATTTGATGAGGAAGAGAGCGAGACTCCTGGCCATAATTGATTAGTAAAATGGAAAAGCAGAAAGCGAAAAGCAATGCATACATCTGTACGGATAAACTCATAAAAGATTTATAAAATATTAAAATGTAAAATAGTTATAATATTTAGAAATAATTTATATTGAATTGACAACTAAAAAAGCATTTTGAATCTGAATTTGCCAAAACAACTCATAAAGATTTATCAAAATATTTTGATATATTTTATATTAACATGAAACTGTTTCCTAACCATTAATTTTATGAGTCACATATTATCTTTTAATATATAACTAAATTGTTCGATAAAAAAATTTAAATAATTAAATAAATAAAAGAAAATATATGAATTATACCTCTAAATATTTCGAATGGGCTCTGCTAGGGTTTTCACCCTAGCATTGTCTCCAGCCTTCCTTGCCTCTCCATGGACATCGATCTCTTGGGGTTTCTTCTCCTGGTGTTTTTTTCCATTTTATGCTTCCTTTTTGGAGTTTGTAGCCTTCATTCGAGTTTTTGTGTGGCGTTCGCTCCTGATGGCTTCGAATTGGCTGAGTGGCCACGGTTTCCTCAATGATAAAAGCAAAGAAGCTTTGTATGGTACTTCGCTTTCAAGCAATTTTCTCGACCTCAAAGCATCGGTTCATCACAGGCTTCCATCCCTTTGGATTTCCGAAGAGGAAATCCTCGCTTTGGCGCAACCTTTTCAGTATGCATTGGTTGATAAATTTTCCAACCAACACCCCCTTTTGGAGTCGATTCGTAAGTTTTTCTTCAATCTAAAATTAATCGGTGAATATCGGTGAATGCTCTGTCACAGTTTTGGATCAAAGACATGTTTTAATTAAGCTGGTAAATGAACTAGATTACTGCCGAGTCTTCTCTCATTGTTCTTACTTTGTTTCTAACTGCTACATGAAGTTGATTAAGTGGTCTCCATTATTTGATGTATCTATGAAATCTCCGATCATTCCTATTTGGGTTTCTTTTCCGAATCTTAGGGCTAATCTTTTCTCTCCTCGAATTCTGCACGGTTTGGGTGCCCTTTTTGGTCGCACTTTGAAAATCGATAATGCCACTGCTGTTGGCTCTAGGCCGTCTGTAGCTAGGGTACTTGTTGAATTTGATATTTCCAAACGTTATCCATAGGTTGTTTGGATTGTTCTTGATAATTTTGGTTATGTCCAAAAGGTTGTTATGGAGGAGTTTCCTCTTTTTTTTTGTGAGCATTGTAAGTCGTTGGGTCATTCCAAAACTAATTGTTGTATCCTAAACCCTCAATTAGATAAGGCTCCTCCTAAACCGTATGCTAATGATGTGGGAAATGGCTCTAACGATCTCTAGGTTGACACTAATGATTTTGTCCCTCATGTTCTTGGTGTTGATTTACCTTTGCAACATAATGTGATTAATTTGGAAACTAGTCTTTCACATCATCCAGTTTGTGGCTTGATTCCCACGATTGTGGCTAAGCATGCTATGACTATTGGGGGAATTGATACTACAGCTGATCAGAGGATTTCTGATGATGTGAACGCTATGGAGTACGTGTGTGGGGTAACTGAAGTTATTAGCAATGTTCGTATGCAAGTTGGTGGACTTCCCTTGCTGAGTAGGGATGTGTTGGATACCACTGTTTTTGCCTCTTAGGGCCACTATGCTGGGCCGTGTGATGTTGTGGTTAGCCCTATGCTTGAAGATGTTACGTGACCTACTGATGGCTCCAAGGAACCGATTATGTGTAACTTGGATATGTGTAAAATGATTGATGAAGTGAGGGAGGTTCTTTTTGATGTGAATGCTTTTTGTCCGGTTGTAATTTTTGGTGCAATTCCCTTGCCTTCTTTGTGTCTACTATGTCTATCGAGGAATTAAATGCTCGTACATATTCTAATGAAACTGGTGCATTGCAAAATGATTAATTGGATGGTTCTTTTTCCTCTCAGGAGGGGGGACAGGACTTGGATCATCTAGGGGAAGATTTCAATTAGTTGTTTAATATAAATGTGCATCGTTTAGTGGAGAACGCCTTCTCCTGTGGGAGTGGAAAACGTCAAAGGCACAAACATAAAAGGAAGTAATAGTTCTTGCTTGTTTGGTGTTTTGCCATCATTTGGCTTTGTTGTCTTGACTCCCTCCCTGTTTGGATGGTTTCTATTCGGTCGACCACTGGATTTTTTTGGATGTGTCTTTTTGGCTACTTTTTGCCATTGTGATTTTTTGTTGCGTTGGATTTTCAGGTGAGGACAATGATGAGTAAGATTTCCTTCATGCCCCTTGGACGATCATGGCTTGTGGGCAACCTTGGTGACAGTTTCTCTATCAGATTTGGTGGATTTTGATTGGATCGTCTGACGTTATCTTCTTCTACTTCTTGGATGGCCCTAACTTGACAACTAGGTGTTGTCTTCTTGTTTTCTCCCTTCTCTCTGTGTAATTGATAGGATCTTCAACTTTACTTCATATGTTATATTTAGTAGAGAGCTTTAGATCTTCTAAAGACTTATATTTCTTTTTAATTTTAAGGTGTAGGCCCTTTGTGGTTAAAAAAAAAAATTGTTTTAAGGATTAATATATGACGCATAATACGTTGAAATTACTTCAAAGGAAGAGCGTGGAAAATAATAATTTATTTGAGCCCAGCAATTATTTTGATAGAAAACCACTAAATGTGCTAAAATACAGTGCAAGCACCCATATTATAGACCTTCTAAGGGGCGTATTATCGAAAGCAAATTGATTTGTTCATCCACATACCAACAATTAAAGATAAATATTTAAATTTGTTTATTGTCGGCTTTGATATATTTCCAAAGATTTCATTTCCTAGACATAATTTTGATGTATTATATATATATATTGAAAGTTTTTAGATAGCTAAATTCAAGTTTATTCGGAATCTGATTTCAATAATTTTATAATTAAATTGAAAGTCTTAATAAGTCAAATATAATAACACTAAAAGTAATTTAATTTGAATCCAGGTGAACCCAAATCAAACACTCAAAATATATTTACAATTTTTTAGATGTTAATTAAAAGATTAAATGGTCGATCTGTAGATATTGCATGTTTATAGCCAAATTGAATGGCTAGAGGAGACGAATATAACGAGTCTAAGATCATTTAATTCCGATGTCACGAAAGAATTTAAAAATGTCAAGTGAATTAATTTTTGCATCTAAATTGAAGCCTATGGGACTTCCAATTTCAACAAAATTTATAATCAGATTTAAAGTTTTGACAACACAAACATGACACCAAAGGTAATCTAATTCGAGTCCAAATTAAGCAATCAAATATATTTGAAAATTTTAAAGCATTAATTGAATAATCAAATGACTCCAAATATTACATTTATTGTCAAATAAAACATGTCAACAAAATGGATCCTGTGTGTTTCAGATTATTCAATTCTGAGACCACCAAAGCACTTAAATGCTTAATAGATTACCTATGATCAAAGAGTTTGGCATGGGATGGCCATTGGATTGCTATTGAATTTTGGCCAAATATATCCCAACCCCATTCTCAAAATATTATAAATATATATCCACTCTTCACATTAAAGATATCTAAATTAGTGAATGGAGAGAATTTTGAGATATGACGAACTCTAGATATCTACTTAGCATTCAAAGCAAACGAACACTGCCAGACACCATCATTGTCCGAATGCTAATGCCAGACCATGATCACCTGATTGTCAATATTTGATAATCATCGCCCAACTACTATAATTCCATCCACATCATCCGACAGAAGTCATTTGATTATTTTTTAAGACTGCCGTCGCTCAACTACTACCACTCAACTACAACATTTTTCGACCATTGTCGTCTGACTACCGTCAACTAACTATTATAAAATTAGAACCCAACTAAAATCATCCTATTGGCGCCATAATTTCCACACT